CACAGTGTGTGGTGGTGTGAGTGTGTATCACGCAGTGTGTAATGTGGTGCGAATGTTTAACACGTAGTGTGGGGTGGTGCGAATGTTTAACACGCAGTGTGGGGCGGTGCGAATGTTTAACACGTAGTGTGGGGTGGTGCGAATGTTTAACACGCAGTGTGGAATGTGGTGCGAATGTTTAACACGCAGTGTGGGGTGGTGCGAATGTTTAACACGCAGTGTGAGGTGGTGCGAATGTTTAACACGCAGTGGGGTGGTGCGAATGTTTTTCGTGTCTGATCAGGGGTGTGGATATCAGTAAATTACCCCACACTGATTAATATGAGGGGGCAATAAAGTGGAAACTATACAGAGCACGCTCCAACTTTAGGCAGAAAGTGTCCTCAAGAACATGGCGGATGATGTGTAGGGGTCACATGACATGTACATGTGTCTGTATAGCTGATGCCCTGGAGGCCATGTTGGGTACTGGCACTGCCCACACTCAGGACTGTTGGTGTTCCATGATCATGTGTCCTCTGTGAGGGGGAGGGAAATGGGAAGTCACATGGTAGGAGTGGGTGGGGTATCTGTAGAGGAGGGGTAATGGCTGCACACGCAGAGGACAAAGGTTGCTAATCATTTCCTGAGCTACCATCCACCCACCTTGTGCTGTGTGTGGAGATAATCCTTGCTACTCTACAGATATCTCCAGACACCTACAGAGATTTCCTCCTGGGAGGACTGGTGGCGGTGTGACCATCGAGGTTCCCCCATCCCCTTTCCTGGCACCTGAGAGAAAGAAGGACGTCATGATGGAGAACCAAAAGGGTAAGAGGAGACTTTGGAAAGCAGAGGGCAGTACGGAGAGTCCACCTAGACCCCCCATCATCTGATAAACACATGGGGCAGGATAAACTATCAGTGGTGCAACCATTTTTCTCAGTGCGACAATAAACAATCACTCGCAACGCATGTTCCTGAGGAACGCGACACATGCATCAAAAATACGTTGCGATGTCTCACTCTGCGCCACCAATAGTTTCTCAGGCCCATAGTATATGTTAGGTGCCCTTCAAGGGGAAAGATCTATCTCTTTGCAGAGTATGTAGCAACCCACAGCTCCCTCTCTCGTAATTTTCTGGTTTGGCTCCAGGGTGAAGATGAAAGACTGAACAGCTGTAAGGTGACAGTTGGTTTGGGTTGAGGCAGCCAAAGAAGTACTTTAAGATGCAGTGTGATGATTGGTTCATCCATCCTGGGGGGCCATGTGGGGTTTGTCATGTTCCTCCAGGAGCTTGTCATCCTTTCCCCGATCTAGAGACTTAGTGCTGAAGAAGAACGTTGTCATCAAGATGTAGGAAAAATGGTTGCTTCATCCATCCTGGGGGAGAGATGTTCTGTTTTCCATGTTCCTCCAAGAGCTTGTCCTCCTACTCCCAATCTTCTTCAGTGCTGAAGAAGAACTTTGTCATCAAGATGTAGTGGAATGATTGCTTCCTCCATTCCGAAGACTTCTGTGGTGTTTTCTTTTGCTGTGAGCTTGTCCTCCTACTCCCAAACTGAAGAACTAGTGCTAAAGACGAAATTTATCATCAAGATGTAGAAGAATGATTGGTTCTCCCGTCCTGGAGGAACGATGTGGTGTTTGCCATGTTACTCTGAGAGCTTGTCCTCCTACTCCCAATCTTCTTCAGTGCTGAAGAAGAACTTTGTCATCAAGATGAAGTGGAATGATTGCTTCTTCCATTCCGAAGACCTAGTGTTTGCTTTTGCTCTGTGAGCTTGTCCTACTCCCCGTCCTGGAGGAACGATGTGGTGTTTGCCATGTTACTCTGAGAGCTTGTCCTCCTACTCCTGATCCGGAGAAGTAGTACTGCAGAAGAACTTAATCATAAAGATGTAGTGGAATGATTGCTTCCTCCATCTTCAGGAAATGATGTGGTGTTTGCTTTTGCTCTGTGAGCTTGTCCTCCTACCACCAATCTGGAGAATTAGTGATGAAGAAGAACTTTATCATCAAGATGTAGTGGAATGATTTGTTCCTCATCCTGGGGGAACCATGTGTTGTTTGCTATGTTCTTCCAGGAGCTTCTCATCCTACTTTCATTCTGGAGAAATAATGATGAAGAAGAACTTAATCATCAAGTCGTAGTGGAATGATTGTGTAGCGCTCACCCCCGAAGGAGCCGCTGAATATTGAAATAGGTTCTCCTACCTGTTGGTTCCAATTCCGTCATCCTCAGAAAATGATGTGGTGTTTGCTGTGTTCCGCTGAGAGCTTGTCCTCCTACACCCAATCTGAAGTAATAGTGCTGAAGAAGAACTTAATCATGAAGATGTAGTGGATTGATTGCTTCCTCCTTCCAGGAAACCTCTGTGCTGTTGTCCATCTTTCTCCGGAAGCTTGTTGTCCTACTCCCGATCTGGAGAAATAGTGCTGAAGAACTTTATCATCAAGATTTAGTGAAACGGTTGCCTACTCTGTTCTGGGGGAATGATGCAATGTTTGCCATGTTCCTCCAAGAGCTTATCATATACTCCTGGTCTGGAGAATAAGTGCTGAAAAACTTTATCATCCAGATGCAGTGGAATGATTGCTTCCTCCATCCTCAGGAAATGTTTGCTCCCGATCTGGAGAATTAGTGCTAAAGAAAACATGTATCATCAAGATGTAGTTGATTGATTGCTTCCCTCATCCAGAGGACCTCTGTGCTGTTGGCCATCATTCTCCAACAGCTTGTCGTCCTCCCGATCTGGAGAATTAGTGCTGAAGAAGAACTTTATCATCAAGATGTAGTGGATTGATTGCTTCCTCCATCCAGAGGACCTCTGTGCTGTTGGCCAACCTTCTCCGAGATCTTGTCATCCTGCTCCCGATCTGAAGAAATAGAACTGAAGGGGCAACCCATCCGTGCCACTGGAGTTATAGAATTTGAACCCAATGAACCTCGTAATGAAAAAGCTCCTCCAATGTTCACTTCTATGATCACCAACAATGGTTTGGACTTGACCTTATTAAATAGCACCAGAAAAGATCCTGTGAATGTACGGAGAAGAAGAGGATAACAAATTAATACAGAGAGTGGGGAAGTAGATGGGATTGTTTGGCTTCATGAGTGGGAGAATGGAGGTTGTGTCTGGCTTCAGGGAAGAGAAACTTGAGTGACAGAGGAGCAGTGTTGACGTTTCTGTGGCATGTAGGGCCACCATCCTAGTTTGAGTGACCAGTGAAGTGTGGGTCCAAGAATTATATTCACGCAGTCATGAATCGGGGAGAAGCTATCGTGCCCTGTCGGTACAAAGTATACCCAGCATGTTTGTATCCCCACCCTTAGATATTCAGTCAGTGTGTGTCTTTCCAACAGGTGGACCCAGTAAGAGAAACGCGCCAAAGAGACGCCTCCGCCCTCGGGGTTCCAACCAGGAAGATCAAACCATTTCTTACCATAATCAGGTAGATGGAGAGAACCTAAAAGTACCTCTAGCCTATATGAGGTTATTCTCTTCTATGTAGTCTCAGCCTGTTGGTAATCATATTTCAAAGATGTTCTTATCTATCATTGTCTCGGCTTAGAATGAAGAACAGATGTATTTGAAAATTGAAGTTAAAGAGGAAGAAGAGGAGGTGTGTGTGATGGATTATCAGCAGACTATGGAGAACGATGGGATGATGGCAACAATTAAAGAGGAGGAACCTTCTCTAGATATTGGCACAGGTGAGTAATGAACACTGAATACAGAAATTGCTCTGGTATACAGATTGACGATTGAGGATCTGTAGACCTTCACCTCCTCAGATAAGATGATCTCTACAAGGACGTCATACTGGGGAACCAGCCGCCCCTCACATCACCTCATTACCTTGTAATGGAGAGAAGAGTACAGAGGGTCCACCTAGACCCCCCATCATCTGATGCACACATAGAAACAATGTATTGAATCAGTGTGTGTGTTTCCTACAGATGCATCCAGTAAGAGGAACCCACCAGAGAGATGTCCTCTGTATTCCCAGGATTCCACACAGGAAGAAGATGATCTGGTTAGTAGAGCTGAAGGCCTCACCTTGTATATGTATGCTCTTCGTTCACTTTCCAGGACTTTATTGATCTTTATGTATTTTAGGGTGATGACCAGATCTGTAAAGTAGAAATCAAAGAAGAAGAGATGTATGTGATGGGTGATCAGCCCTATGCAGAGAACGATATGTCTCCAGAGAGCAGCACAGGTAAGTGTGAAATGCTAAATGCTGGAATTACCTATATCTACCTGACGTGTTTCTATACCGCTTATTGTCAGTTTTCCTGAATGCCGAATAGCAGCTTTATAAAATGCTTCTGTAATAACCGCTCTGCATCAAACTCCCTGGCGACTTCTACTCCGGTCCGTTTCGATAGACCTACAAATCACCAGTGAGGGAAATTGAACATGTGGGTGTTCTTTTACACTTACTGACAAGCTCTGCAATATAGGTGTATGAAAGGAGCGAGGATTTACTGTGTACATTTGTGATTAGAAACCCCATAGCGATGCCAAAGACTGACAGAGAGTCACTGGGAATTAGCAGAAGATTGTTAAATCATATTACTGTCTAGGAGCATCATCTATGTACCCACCCCTCCACCTGTTGTATCCTACTAATAGGGTGGAGGTATAGCAAACCACATGGTAGACTAGTCTTCATTCCTTATTAAAATGTCATGTTCCCCCTAAATGAGGAGGAGATACTGTACATCATATGAAGGTCCATCTCCATCCCTCAATATAACGTCATGTGACCAACAAATGAGGAGATACTGTACACCATATGAAGGTCCATCTCCATCCCTCAATATAACATCATGTGACCAACAAATGAGGAGGAGATACTGTACACCATATGAAGGTCCATCTCCATTCCTCAATATAACGTCATGTCCCCAACAAATGAGGAGGAGATACTGTACACCATATGAAGGTCCATCTCCATTCCTCAATATAACGTCATGTCCCCAACAAATGAGGAGGAGATACTGTACACCATATGAAGGTCCATCTCCATTCCTCAATATAACGTCATGTGACCAACAAATGAGGAGGAGATACTGTACACCATATGAAGGTCCATCTCCATTCCTCAATATAACGTCATGTGACCAACAAATGAGGAGGAGATACTGTACACCATATGAAGGTCCATCTCCATTCCTCAATATAACGTCATGTGACCAACAAATGAGGAGGAGATACTGTACACCATATGAAGGTCCATCTCCATTCCTCAATATAACGTCATGTCCCCAACAAATGAGGAGGAGATACTGTACACCATATGAAGGTCCATCTCCATTCCTCAATATAACGTCATGTGACCAACAAATGAGGAGGAGATACTGTACACCATATGAAGGTCCATCTCCATTCCTCAATATAACGTCATGTGACCAACAAATGAGGAGGAGATACTGTACACCATATGAAGGTCCATCTCCATTCCTCAATATAACGTCATGTGACCAACAAATGAGGAGGAGATACTGTACACCATATGAAGGTCCATCTCCATTCCTCAATATAACGTCATGTGACCAACAAATGAGGAGGAGATACTGTACACCATATGAAGGTCCATCTCCATTCCTCAATATAACGTCATGTGACCAACAAATGAGGAGGAGATACTGTACACCATATGAAGGTCCATCTCCATTCCTCAATATAATGTCATGTGACCAACAAATGAGGAGGAGATACTGTACACCATATGAAGGTCCATCTCCATTCCTCAATATAATGTCATGTGACCAACAAATGAGGAGGAGATACTGTACACCATATGAAAGGTCCATCTCCATTCCTCAATATAACGTCATGTGACCAACAAATGCGACTGAGATATTTTACACCATATGAAAGGTCACCATGACCAAGTGACCCATAGCTGGTTTGGTTACATTGTTCATCTTAAGCTAGCTTTACAGCCCTACCTGATTTCAAGGCAGAGACTGTTGACCAACATACGTTATTTCTGACTGCAAACCATGCAAATGTATCTTCTTAATCAAATATTTCTATCTCACAGATGGTCACAATGGGTGGAATAATATTGAACGGCATCGTATTTCATCTCCAGATTACAATGAATATCATGCACATGAAGACCCCGGACATTCCCGTGCAGGCAGATTAACAGATCTCTCCAATCCTGAGGACTCTTCTGATAGGTCACATACCGTATCATCAGGTCTCCAGCAGAGATTTGCGGATAGATCTTCAAATCCATCTTCCCTGGAGAATTCAGACTCTATTACCCATAAAGGTAAAAAGATATTTCCGTGTCCTCACTGCGAAAAAAGTTTTAAAGCTAAATCATCTCTGGATAAACATGTAAGAGTGCACACCGGGGAGCGGCCATTCTCATGCCCCGAGTGCGGGATTTCTTTTAAGTCCAGCTCAAATCTCTTTAGACATCAAAGACTTCACGCTGGAGTGAAGAGTTTTACATGTTCGGTTTGTGGGAAGCCTTGCATAGACAACGCCAACCTTGCCCGGCATCTTCTAAACCACACAGGCGAGAGACCTCATCAGTGCACAGAGTGCGGGAAGCGCTTTAAAAGGAAATATCAACTGACTGAGCATTTTAGAGTTCATACGGGAGAGACTCCTTTCGCGTGTTCAGAGTGCGACGAAAGTTTTATGCAGAAGTATGATCTCATCGTCCACCAGAAAACCCACATGGACAAAAGTCCGTACACATGTACGGTGTGCGGGAAAGGTTTCACATGGAAGCATACCTTCCTCCTACACCAGCGTACACACACTGGCAAAATGGTGCACACGTGCGCAGAGTGCAATCAATCTTTTCTAACCAAATCTGAGCTAAACATACACCGGAGATGTCACGTCCATGTGGTTATCTTTCCGTGCTCAGAATGTGATAAATCGTTCAAAACGAGGAAAGAACTCCTCCTACACCAGAGAAGTCACACCGGTGAGGAGGTCTTCTCATGCATGGAATGCGATAAATCCTTCATAAAGAAATCGGAACTTGTCAGACACCAGAGAGTCCACACCGGCGAGAAGCCCTTTTTGTGCTTCCAGTGCGGCAAACGCTTTATGCAGAAGAAAGGCCTCAATGCCCATATGAAGCTTCACTCAGACGAGCCCAAGTGAGGGAAACGTTTTGGCGGGAAGGACAATCCCATCCCGAAAAAAATCCTGCTGGCTCCTGGATTGGACGGACATGATTTGTCCAGCTCTGCCATAGACGTTCTTGTTGGCTGAATGGACGATTCAACGCAATGATGGAACATTTCATCTACAATACAGATCATGGATAGTCCTCACCACAGCCCAGTATTGCTTCTCGTTGGTTGTTGTTGGCTGTTGTACATTTTTCTCATACTTACACACTTTGATTTAGAGAATTACTTTGTGTCAAATAGATGTATTGCTTTTTTATAACTAAAGGGTTCATTTATTATTAATATTTTGTTGTTGTTTTAAACATCTGTGTGGGGATTAAAGGGGATACCATCCTGAAAGGAATTCCTAGAGTGCCGTTCCTGACCTCTTCTATGGGAAATACTAGTCGCCTGGATGTCATTGTGCTCGCCAAGCTTCTGCACCTTCTGATTTGCTGACCTTGTGCGGCTGCATAGAACAGGTGTTCTGGCTTCACTTCCTGTATACCTTTTTGTAGGTCGGTTACTCAGAAAGCACGGAAGCCACTGAGCTTGCATTGCAGCCCGGCAGCTTAGAGTTCTACTGTGAGACTGATAGTGGTAGTCTATGTATTAAGTGCTGAGGGCCAGATCTCTGAACATCACGGCAGTCGCAGAGACCTGAGAGGTCAAGTGTAGAGGTCTTACCACCAAGCTGCTTGTATCCTAATCTCAATTGGCTTGTCCCAGACCTGGCAGGTCAAGTGTAGAGGTCTCACTTTTGACGTGCTTATATTCTAATCTCCATGGGCTTGTCCCAGACCTGGCAGGTCAAGTGTACAGGGTCTCACTACCAAACCTGCTTGTATTCTGATCTACACGGACTTATCCTGGACTTAGGAGGTCAAGTGTAGAGTTCTCACCACCAACCTGCTTGTGTTATAATATACATGGGCTCATGCTAGACCTGGGAGCTCAGTTGTAGAGGTCTCGCTACTGCCCTGCTTGTATTCTAATCTACATGGGCTTGTTTCAGGCTTGGGAGGTCAAGTGTAGAGTTATCACCACCAACCTGCTTGTATTCTAATCTACATGGGCTCATCCCAGACCTGAAAGGTCAAGTGTAAAAGTCTCACCACCAACCTTCTCCTATTCTAATCTACATGGAGTCATCTCAGACCTGGGAGGTCAAATGCAGAGGTCTTACCACCAACCTTGTTGTATTCTGAGCTACATGGGCTTATCACAGATCTGGAAGGTTGATTGTTGAGGTTTTACCACCAACATGCTTGTATTCTAATCTACATGGGCTCGTCCCAGTCCTAAAAGGTCAAGTGTAGCAATCTCACCGTCGACCTGCTTGTATTCTAATCTACATGGGCTGATCACAGACCTGGGTCCTTAAGTGTAGAAGTCTCACTGTCTACCTGTTGTATTAATATTATTATTATCACCGATTCTGAGTTCAGGGGTGGGATATACGTGTCCTCAATGGGGGATCTGTATATTTTGGTGATGTAGGTGGCGGGACTATGGACATGAACCTAGAAGAACTGAGAATGTCACTGCTGGCCGAGTCCCCTAAGCCCAGACTACTTCTATATTTGTGGCCTCTAATAACCCTTTCACAGCCATCATGTCAGAGATTCATCCATGGCGGTACACGACACAGCCAGCTGCACCATTTCTACTGCATTTATGTGCCATTTGGTGTCCTTCAGCTCCTTATCTCCTGTTCCCAAACCTTCTAGATTCTGATAGGATTGAGCTGGAGATTGTTGAAGGCCAACACAGTGTTCAGTGGCACAGACCATGAGTGCTCTTACAAGAACAGAAATATGGGTTCAGCCTCCAGGACCTTCATCCCGACCCAGCCTTCATTAACCATTGAGTCACAGGTCTGGAACAAGGATGCAGCCAGCAAAGTCTAAAGCCACGGCAATATGCAGGAGAGGTGAAATGGACATCACTCACATATACCTATTATTAATATAAAGTGAGCAGGAGGAGTCACAGTAAATTAAAAGGTTAATTTACAGCCAATGGAAGGGGGAAGTAAAGGGTTAAGGTACAGTAAATAGGAAGGGGGCAGTAAAGGGTAAATGTATAATGAATAGTAAAGGGTTAATGTACAGTGAATGAGAAGAGGAAGCAAAGGGTTAGTGTGCACTTCCTCTACACTGTGACTTTGGCTAGTGAAGGGTTAATGTGCTCTTCCTGTACACTTCTGGACTCTGGTCAGTAAAGGGTTAATGTGCTCTTCCGGTTCACTCCCGGACTCTGGGCAGTAAAGGGTTAATGTGATCTTCCGGTTCACTCCCGGACTCTGGGCAGTAAAGGGTTAATGTGCTCTTCCGGTTCACTCCGGACTCTGGGCAGTAAAGGGTTAATGTGCTCTTCCTGTTCACTCCCGGACTCTGGGCAGTAAAGGGTTAATGTGCTCTTCCTGTTCACTCCCGGACTCTGGGCAGTAAAGGGTTAATGTGCTCTTCCTGTTCACTCCCGGACTCTGGGCAGTAAAGGGTTAATGTGCTCTTCCTGTTCACTCCCGGACTCTGGGCAGTAAAGGGTTAATGTGCTCTTCCGGTTCACGCCCGGACTCTGGGCAGTAAACGGTTAATGTGCTCTTCCTGTTCACTCCCGGACTCTGGGCAGTAAAGGGTTAATGTGATCTTCCGGTTCACTCCCGGACTCTGGGCAGTAAAGGGTTAATGTGCTCTTCCTGTTCACTCCCGGACTCTGGGCAGTAAAGGGTTAATGTGCTCTTCCTGTTCACTCCCGGACTCTGGGCAGTAAAGGGTTAATGTGATCTTCCGGTTCACTCCCGGACTCTGGGCCGTAAAGGGTTAATGTGCTCTTCCGGTTCACTCCCGGACTCTGGGCAGTAAAGGGTTAATGTGCTCTTCCTGTTCACTCCCGGACTCTGGGCAGTAAAGGGTTAATGTGCTCTTCCTGTTCACTCTGGGCAGTAAAGGGTTAATGCTCTTTTCCTGTACTCTTAGACTCTGGGCAGTGAAGGGTTAATATGCACTTCCTGTGGCAGTCTGGGTAGAGATCTGTGTATTCAGAGGACTCTCCACCTCTGAGCGGAATGTGGCCACAAGAACATGGCGGATGATCTGTAGGGGTCACATGACATGTACATGTGTCTGATCTCTCAGAGGCCATGTTGGGTACTGGCATCACCCACACCCAGGACTGTTGGTAATCCATGATCATGTGTCTTCTGTGAGGGGGAGGAAACTGAGGGTCACATGGCTGGAGTGGGCGGGATATCTGTAGAGGAGGGGTAATGGCTGCACACATAGAGGACAAAAGTTGCTGGTCAGTATTCCTGAGATCCCATCGCTCCTTTCTGTGCTGTGTGCAGAGATAATCCTTACTACTCTACAGCTATCTCCAGACACCTTCTAGAGCTTTCCTCCTGGGAGGACTGATAGTGGAGTGACCATCGAGGTTCCTCTATCTCCCTTTCTGACACCTGAGAGAAACAAGGACGTCATGATGGAGGATGAACCGCCCCTCACATCACCGGGTAAGAGGAGAGAGCAGTACGGAGGGTCCACCTAGATCCCCCATCATCTGATACACACATAGAAACAATGTATTCAGTCACTGTGTGTGTCTCCTACAGATGGATCCAGTAAGAGGAACCCACCAGAGAGATGTCCCCGTACTCTGTATTCCCGGGATTCCACACAGGAGGATCACACCGTCCCTCACCGTGATCAGGTAGGTGACTCTAGACTGTATGAGTTTATACTCCTCTTTGTGGTCTCAGCCTATCTGTGATAAGAACATCAGCATGTTATCTTCCGTCATTCTTTTGGTTTAGGATGAAGATGAACAGATGTATGTGAAAGTGGAAATTAAAGAGGAAGAAGAGGAGGTGTGTGTGATGGATTATAAACAGTCTACAGAAGAGATTGGGATGGCGGCAAATATTAAACCGGAAGAATCCCTAAATATCATCACAGGTGAGTAATAATCACTATATATAGAAACTGATCCGATATATCGATGATTGAGGACCTGTAGACCTTCACACAATTGGGTAAGGTGATCTCTACAAGGACGTCATGATGGAGAATGAGCCGCACCTCACATCACCGGGTAAGAGGAGAGAGCAGTACGGAGGGTCCGCCTACATCCCCCATCATCTGATACACACATAGAAACAATGTATTCAGTCAGTGTGTGTGTTTCCTACAGATGGATCCAGTAAGAGGAACCCACCAGAGGGATGTCCAAGTCCTCTGTATTCCCGGGATTCCACACAGGAAGATGATCAGGTAAGTACAGATGAGTGTCTCACCTTCTATACTTCATACCTCTTCATTCCGTATCCAGTCATTGATAGATTTCCGTCTATTTTAGGGTGATGACCAAATTTGTATCAAAGTTGAAATCAAAGAGGAAGAGACGTATGTGATGGGTGATCAGCCATGGGTGGAGAATGATATATCTCCAGAGAGCAGTGCTAGTGAGTACTTAATGTTAATGCCAAGTATCCATATCTACCTCTTCTGCCGAATGGCACCCTTAAAAATGCGGTATCAAATTTTCAGGAGACTACTCCTTCTGTCTGCTTATATGGACAATCGAGTCACCAGTGGGAAATGGACAGGTGGATGTTCTGTTACACTGGCTGATAAGCTCTCCTAAATGAATTTTTGAAGAGAACAAACATTCACCAACAAATTAAGTAGAGATACTGTACACCATATGAAGGTCCATCTCCATTCCTCAATATAACGTCATGTCCCCAACAAATGAGGAGGAGATACTGTACACCATCTGAGAGGTCCATCTCCATTCCTCAATATAACATCATGTCCCCAACAAATGAGGAGGAGATACTGTACACCATCTGAGAGGTCCATCTCCATTCCTCAATATAACGTCATGTCCCCAACAAATGAGGAGATACTGTACACCATATGAAAGGTCCATCTCCATTCCTCAATATAACGTCATGTCCCCAACAAATGAGGAGATACTGTACACCATATGAAAGGTCCATCTCCATTCCTCAATATAACGTCATGTCCCCAACAAATGAGGAGATACTGTACACCATATGAAAGGTCCATCTCCATTCCTCAATATAACGTCATGTCCCCAACAAATGAGGAGATACTGTACACCATATGAAAGGTCCATCTCCATTCCTCAATATAACGTCATGTCCCCAACAAATGAGGAGATACTGTACACCATATGAAAGGTCCATCTCCATTCCTCAATATAACGTCATGTCCCCAACAAATGAGGAGATACTGTACACCATATGAAAGGTCCATCTCCATTCCTCAATATAACGTCATGTCCCCAACAAATGAGGAGATACTGTACACCATATGAAAGGTCCATCTCCATTCCTCAATATAACGTCATGTCCCCAACAAATGAGGAGATACTGTACACCATATGAAAGGTCCATCTCCATTCCTCAATATAACGTCATGTCCCCAACAAATGAGGAGATACTGTACACCATATGAAAGGTCCATCTCCATTCCTCAATATAACGTCATGTCCCCAACAAATGAGGAGATACTGTACACCATATGAAAGGTCCATCTCCATTCCTCAATATAACGTCATGTCCCCAACAAATGAGGAGATACTGTACACCATATGAAAGGTCCATCTCCATTCCTCAATATAACGTCATGTCCCCAACAAATGAGGAGATACTGTACACCATATGAAAGGTCCATCTCCATTCCTCAATATAACGTCATGTCCCCAACAAATGAGGAGATACTGTACACCATATGAAAGGTCCATCTCCATTCCTCAATATAACGTCATGTCCCCAACAAATGAGGAGATACTGTACACCATATGAAAGGTCCATCTCCATTCCTCAATATAACGTCATGTCCCCAACAAATGAGGAGATACTGTACACCATATGAAAGGTCCATCTCCATTCCTCAATATAACGTCATGTCCCCAACAAATGAGGAGATACTGTACACCATATGAAAGGTCCATCTCCATTCCTCAATATAACGTCATGTCCCCAACAAATGAGGAGATACTGTACACCATATGAAAGGTCCATCTCCATTCCTCAATATAACGTCATGTCCCCAACAAATGAGGAGATACTGTACACCATATGAAAGGTCCATCTCCATTCCTCAATATAACGTCATGTCCCCAACAAATGAGGAGATACTGTACACCATATGAAAGGTCCATCTCCATTCCTCAATATAACGTCATGTCCCCAACAAATGAGGAGATACTGTACACCATATGAAAGGTCCATCTCCATTCCTCAATATAACGTCATGTCCCCAACAAATGAGGAGATACTGTACACCATATGAAAGGTCCATCTCCATTCCTCAATATAACGTCATGTCCCCAACAAATGAGGAGATACTGTACACCATATGAAAGGTCCATCTCCATTCCTCAATATAACGTCATGTCCCCAACAAATGAGGAGATACTGTACACCATATGAAAGGTCCATCTCCATTCCTCAATATAACGTCATGTCCCCAACAAATGAGGAGATACTGTACACCATATGAAAGGTCCATCTCCATTCCTCAATATAACGTCATGTCCCCAACAAATGAGGAGATACTGTACACCATATGAAAGGTCCATCTCCATTCCTCAATATAACGTCATGTCCCCAACAAATGAGGAGATACTGTACACCATATGAAAGGTCCATCTCCATTCCTCAATATAACGTCATGTCCCCAACAAATGAGGAGATACTGTACACCATATGAAAGGTCCATCTCCATTCCTCAATATAACGTCATGTCCCCAACAAATGAGGAGATACTGTACACCATATGAAGGTCCATCTCCATTCCTCAATATAACAATATTTCTCTTTCACAGGTGGACACAATGGGTGGAATAATATTGAACGGCATCGTATTTCATCTCCAGAATACAATGAATATAATGCAAATGACTCGGCACCATATTTCCCATGTGAAGATCCCGGACATTCCCGTGCCGGTAGATTAACGGATCTCTCTAACCCTGAGGAATCTTCTGATAGGTCACATACTGTTCAATCAGATAACCATCTAACATATCACAATGCAGATAGACCATCAAATCCATCTTCCATTGATAATTCAGACTCTATTACCCAGAAAAGTGGGAAGATATTTCCGTGTCCTCACTGTGAAAAATGTTTTTCAGCAAAATCATTTCTTGATAAACATGTAAGAGTGCACACCGGGGAGCGGCCATTCTCATGCTCCGAGTGCGGGATTTCTTTCAAGTCCAGCTCAAATCTCTTTAGACATCAAAGACTGCACGCTGGAGTGAAGACCTTTACATGTTCAGTGTGCGGGAAGTCTTGTGCAGACAATGCCAACCTTGCCCGGCACCTTCTAAACCACACCGGTGAGAAACCTTTTCCGTGCTCAGAGTGCGGGAAGCGTTTTAAAAGGAAGTCTCAGTTGACGGAGCATTTTAGAGTTCACACGGGCGAAACTCCTTTCTCATGTCCGGAGTGTGGAGAAAGTTTTATGCAGAAGTATGATCTCACCGTCCACCAGAAGACCCATACGGACAAAATTCCATACACATGTATGGTTTGTGGGAAAGGTTTTACATGGAAGCATACTCTCCTCCTACACCAGCGAATGCACACAGGCAAAATGCTGTACACGTGTACAGAGTGCGGGCAGGGGTTCATACGGAAACGCACGTTTGTCAACCACCAGAGAACCCACGAAGAGGAGCTGTCCATCTCTTGCACAGATTGCGGGAAACGCTTCACTCAGAAATCCGCTCTTGCCGAGCATCAAAAACTTCACGTAGATGAAAGCTCCTTGACATGTCTCGAGTGCGGCAAATCTTTTCAAACCAAGTCTGAACTTTACCTGCATCGTAGAGTTCATGTCCGTGAGGAGATCTTTCCATGCTCAGAATGTGAAAAGTCATTCAAAACAAAGACAGAGCTCCTTCTACATCAGAGAGGTCACACCGGTGAGGAGATCTTCTCATGCTCAGAATGCAATAAGTCCTTCATACGTAGATCGGACCTTGTCAGACACCAGAGAGTCCACACCGGCGAAAAGCCCTTTCTGTGCTTCCAGTGCGGCAAACGCTTCTCACATAGGGGAGGCCTCAGAGGCCACCTGAAGCTCCACACCGGAGAGAAGCCCTTCTCCTGCTCCGAGTGTGGGAAAAGCTTTAGCAGGAAGGACAATCTAATTTCCCATCAGAACACTCACAAGGCAGAGAAGCCGTTTTCCTGTGCAGAGTGCGGGACGGGGCCCGGAAAACAGGCCTTGTGTTCACACAGTGGAGCGGCCATATTCTTGCTCGGAGAGCCGGGAAAGTAGGTTGATGAAAGCCTGTCAAAATAAATATTAGAGAGGTTCTCATTAGTTGACTGGACTGGCAAATCTCTACAAGTGATGGAACTTTTCCATGGAAATATCCAAAGCAGCCCATGGGTTGTCCTTTCCGCAAGCCAGACGGTGTGGTAAACTCCCGGAACCTTGTTGTTGGCTGTTGGCCGGCAAAAGCCTACTGAGATAGGTTGCACAGATACCAAGTACAGTACTCGGTACAAGTACGAATACATGTACCGATACTTTTGAGCTCCAAGACTAGACTAGAGAAAAATGCAAAAATTAGGAGGCAGCGGTCATTTGTAAGGAGCACACGGAGCTCCCGGGATTTGTACATCTCTGTTTTAATGTACGATTTTGTTTTTATAAATATAAATAAAGGGATGCACAGATACCAGTTTTGCGAGTACGAGTACTGGTACTTGCCGAGGTACTTACAAGTACGAGTACTGATACATTTTTGTTTATTGTCATGTGACAGTTTTTCTAAAACAATACAGACTAATGATTTCAGGACAGTGGTGGAGTGCCAGAGCCCGGTCCCAGCTGCAACCGCTGCAACCCTGGTAGTTCTCATGAAAATGCCAAGTATCTGCACTGGTACTCGAAAAGTATCTGTGCATCCCTAGAAGGTTCTTGTTGGACGAATGGACTGGCAAATCTCTGCAGGCGATGGAATATTTCCATGGAAATATCCAAATCAACCAATGGGTTGTCCTAACTGCAAGCCAGACCGTGTAGTAAACTCCCAAAACCTTGTTGTTGGATGTTGGTCGGCAAAAGCCTACTGAGATAAGGTTCTTGTTGGATGAGTGGTGTAGGAAATGTCTCACAATGATGGAGCATTTCATCTTCAAAAACCCGATACAGCTCATGGATTTTCCATACCCCCAACTCGATACTTCTAGTAATCTACCGGCTCCTCGTTGGCTCTCATTGGCCATTGGCCCTTCCACTAAAACGCTTTGACTTCAAGACTTTCTGAGTCCACTTGTGTAACTTTTCATAATGCTCCCTTTCTATTCATATGTTCCTATTTCTTTTTTGCTGCCTTAAAAACTTATATGGGGATTAAAATAACATCATCATAGAAAAAAAATTCCTGGAGGGCCATTCCTGCTAGTTTTCTAGATTTTACGGTGAACCTTTGGCTTCTATGCTTTCTGATTTGTCGACCTTGAGCAGCTGTGGCTTCCCTTCCAGCGTACTCTTTCGAGGCCAATGATTTAAAAACCACGGTGACCCTTGGATTGACCTAACAGCCAAGCACATTCGAGCTGATAATGGCATTCTACGAATTTGGATGCCTCGGAGGTGAGGGCCATCTCTCCAAACATTGGGAAGAACCCTTCTACAAGTTCTGAGTGCAGCAGGCATTTCGTGTTCGAAGTGTGTGTGGTTTTTTTTTAATTCAAGTTTATCACAATATGCTTTATACACATATACATCGGGGTTGGAGAAATCCCAGGAGCTAGGTCTCCAATGCTTCTTAAGACTTACAGCCGGCGCCTAACTTTTGGGGTTTTCTCTAGTTGTCAATGGAGCTGGCTCTTATAAAATCCTGCTGGCTCCCGCATTGGACAGACTGGCTCCTATGCTCCATACTAATATGTCCGCCCCTGATCTACAGTCACTTTCGGTTACTATGGGCATTTGGTATACGTAGGAAGGGAATGTTACATCATATCCTGTACATATCAGACATCATATAGAATTATATTCAGTTTTGTAAAGATCAAGTTATTATAAATTGAGAAGTGACATTAGACAGATACCAATGTTTGTCATGACATATTACTAATAAAGAGATGTTAATGCAAAATATGTTTCTCTGCACTTATTGAGTTGTTACTGGTCTCTAGACGAGCCGAGAGTGCCACCACTGGTCACTAGAAGTGCTGTGAGGGCCACATCTGGTCACTAGAAAAGCCGAGAGTGCCACCACTGGTCACTAGAAGAGCCGAGAGTGCCATCACTGGTCACTAGAAGAGCCGAGAGGGCCACCACTGGTCACTAGAAGTGTTGTGAGTGCCATCACTGGTCACTAGAAGAGCCGAGAGGGCCACCACTGGTCACTAGAAGTGTTGTGAGTGCCATCACTGGTCACTAGAAGAGCCGAGAGTGCCATCACTGGTCACTAGAAGAGCCGAGAGTGCCACCACTGGTCACTAGAAGTGCTGTGAGTGCCATCACTTGTCACTAGAAGAGCCGAGAGTGCTACCAATCTCTTCTGCCCTGATCACCACCATATTTGTGGGCGCCAACAACCTCTTCACATCATATATACGATTATGACTACACATCACAAAGTCAGCTACGCCAAACCTACTGCATTCAAGTTCTATTATCTCAGGATGCTCCAGAGATTTGGAGTTGGTGCACAAAGTAAGCCAACATGACCTACATGCTACACACCCCCACCACATTTCATTCAGGCTATTAGGCCTTCGTTAGATCCGGTAACATCAAGTGGTTTCAACGTTAGATCTCATATAATTACAGAGATATTTCACATAAAAACACAGATATTAGGTGGTTTTACATAAGGGGGGGGCTAGCCCCTCCCCCCTTATGCATTTTTCTAGCAAAAAGACATTCAGGCTAATAGATAATTGTTAGATCCGGTGATTTTTTTTATTAGGCCGAGCATGCACATGGTGGTAAAAAGTAATAATTAGGGATGCTAGTATCGATATCGGTGCCGAGTATTTGGGCGAGTACGAGTACTCGCCCAAATGCTCCGATGCCTAGCACGAGTACTTCCTTTATCAGGAAGCCAGGCAGCGCGTCATTACACGCTGCCTGGTTTCCTGATTGGCCGGGAAGCGGCTCCATGCTCTCTCGCCACTTGTGATGAGAGAGCATGGAGCCGACTTCCCGGCCAATCAGGAAGCCAGGCAGCCTGTAATGACGCAGCGCCCGGCATTCTGATTGGCCCGGAAGCCGGCTTCATAATCCCTCGTCATCTCATGAAGGGGGAGCTTTAAGGCCTTCCGGCCAATCAGAGAGCAGGGCGCTGCGTCGTTACACGCGCCCGGCTTCCATGATTGGCCAGCAAGACGGCTCCGGCTGGCGATTGTTACGCCACTGTGTGGAACTGTTTTCATAGACTTGAATGGAAATCTCTATTTTGTGCGATATCATGCGGATAAATCACTTACATCCTCTTACATCACTAGCCCCTCCTGCTCTCAGGTCACCGGGGCGGGGCCCCGCCCCCTCCTTCACTGCAAACGCCAGGTCACCAGTCTCTTCTGCAGCAGCTGCTGGCTGTCACTGGCACAGCTCAGCGGCGGATGTGAGGAAGAACGCGCCGCTGCACGCATCACCGACAGGTTGTCAGTGATCCAGCAGCGGCGCCTTCCTCTTGACAGCCAGCACCCTGATATGCCATAGCGACCCAGGCGTCCCACGCGGCATCAGAGGTATGCCCTGGTCGAGCCCCCCTGTGCCCGGACCCCATAGCGGCCGCCTGGGTCGCTATGGCGATTGTTACGCCACTGTGTGGAACTGTTTTCATAGACTTGAATGGAAATCTCTATTTTGTGCGATATCATGCGGATGTGAACCTCAATTATATCAAATAAAGTCTCCTGCCCATTATTTTCCTTCCATTGAGAACACAACACTTTTTGTAATCATACCTCATATCTCTGTAATTACATGAGATCTAACGCTGAAACCACTTGATCTGACCGGATCTAACAAAACAGACAGAATCCCGTCGACCCGGATCCTCGTTGGATAATAATAGCGAGGATCCGGGATATAAGGCCAAGATCTTAAAGGAGAACTATGGGGTTAAGGCTTTTCCCCATAGTTCTCCTTAGGGAGACCTCCCGTCACCCTAGGCTCAGTATACCGCGAGCTGTAGCTCACTATATACTGAGACGCCGGAGCGGATCCCGACATCAATGTCGAGATCCGCCCAGCTGCGTGAGTGACAGCTGGCTCTGCCTATCTAGAGGCAGAACCAGCTGTACCCCCCCCCCCCCCCGTCCGTTCCGCCAGTCAGCGCTGGCACTCATAGTTCTCCTTTAAACAGTAAGGACTGCCGAATCCCTATACAGGCAGTCCCTGGGTTACGAACAAGATAGGGACTGTAGGTTTGTTCTTAAGCTGATTTTGTATGTAAGTTGGAACAGATACATTTTTTAAGTTATTTTAGTTTTGTATAGCATAGGGAAGGGTTAACCCCCGGTAAAGTTTGTGTTGTGTGCCCCTGAAGATTTCACCTCACTTTCTGTCCCTGTGACAACTGTATTTTGAAAATGTTGGGTTGTTGTGGAAACAAGGATTGGTGATAAAGCTTCGGTGGAGACACCTTTTTCCCCATGATAACTCTTACAGGGGTGAATTTCCCTTCCTAGAGGTAGATTTCCTTTCACTTCCTGTTGTCTTAAGGACAGGAAGTGAGATTAAATCTTTCTAATACAGACAGAGGATACAGACAGCAGTAAAAACCTTGCAGTCACCCAGAAGAAGAGACGTGCACCCCCTCGTCTGCACGTCTAACAAGAGCCAACTTCCTGTAATGTACTTACAGCACTACGAGCCAGACCCAAAAAAGCGGGCACTCCTCGTCGGCACGAGCGCAGTAGCATTACAACTACCCCGCTGTACAGTAATAGCCTCCGTGTAAGTAGGAGTCGTATGTAAGTCGGATGTTTGTAACTCGGGGACTGCCTGTATTCTGTATAGGGTTGCCACCTTTTCTTCAAGCGAAACCCGAACACTCAAGCGACGCACGGACATTTTTGGGGTAGAATGAGTGGTGGCTTATTCATATGTAAATAGCGCCACCCATTCATATGCAAATAGTAGCCCCTATCGTAATTTTGGTTGCCCCCGTCTGCCTGACATCTTGTGTCCGGGTTTCTGCTGCCATGAAACCCGGACACAGCATTTGAAACTCGGACTGTCCGGGTGAATCCTGGACAGGTGGCAACCCTAATTCTGTACTGTGGCAGCAGACAAAATGGCTACGGTCATGAGTTTGTGACAAAAGGTTGTGACGGGATACATGAACCAAATATAGTAGAATGGCAAATGCTGCTTGCTGATTAGCTTAGAGCTGTATAAGGAATAAGACGTATTGGAAATATGTGTATTGGAAATGTGTAATGTGATGTCATTGCTATTATATATATTTTGTGACCCAGGATTTGGAGACGGTACTCCCCTGAGTCTAGGTCTGCGCAGAGAATAAAGAAGATTTGTATTCCTGAAGTCTGTGTCCGGAGTCCATTGCTGGTTTCCCAAAAGCTATTTCCCGCTACAGTGCCCTGGAAAAAAAAAAAAACAATCTTAGCGGTCAAACGCCTTCTCGGCATCAACTAATACTAAACATAAAGGAATATTATGTGTCTGGGTGTATTGATGAGGGTCAAAGTTTTCAGGGTATTGTCTCAAGATTCCCTCCTGGGGACATCGGCTGCAGTTTTATACACTGTGCTGATATCACTTCTGAGCGTAATGCACAACCAGGAAGTGATGTCAACTACAGACAGGAAGTGATGTCAACTACAGACAGGAAGTGATGTCAAAGGCACACAGGAAGTGAAATCAGACAAAGACAGGAAGTTCTGGGTGAAAGGTGAGGAGAGAGTAAGTAGTGAGGAGACATCACTGCAACTGGAAGCAAAGGAGGTAAGAAGATATTATTTTATATTTACACCCAGTAACCCCCCCGTCATGTCCATCCTCCATAGTCACTGTGATATTTGTTACGGTTTATAGACCAGATACATCCTAAATATAGAGCCATTTATCCAACTGTCCATCCAGAGCCGCCATTTATAGACCGGATACATCCTAAATATAGAGCAATTTATCCAACTGTCCATCCAGAGCCGCCATTTATAGACCAGATACTTTCTAAATATAGAGCCATTTATCCAACTGTCCATCCAGAGCCGCCATTTATAGACCGGATACATCCTAAATATAGAGCAATTTATCCAACTGTCCATCCAGAGCCGCCATTTATAGACCAGATACTTTCCCTCAGTCTCACTCATACCGCCTTTAATTTCATATGATGAACAGTCTGAGGTGAGAACTCTGTGTAGACATCCAGGGCAGCACAGTGGCATAGTGGTTAGCGCTTCTGCCTTGCAGCACTGGGGGTATGAATCCTGGTCAGGTCACTATCTGCAAGGAGTTTGTATGTTCTATGTTCCTGTGCTTGCGTGAGTTTCCTCCGGGTACTCCGGTTACCTCCCACTCTCCAGAGACATGCTGGTAGGTTAATTGGCTCCTCTCTAAGTTGGCCCTCTATGTATGCATCGGGACCTTATATTGTAAGCCCCTTGAGGGCGGGGACTGATGTGAATGTGCAACTATGTAAAGTGCGGCGTAAATTATCTGCACTATATAAATACCTGAAATAAATAAATAATAAATAGACATTATTCATCCCGGGACAGTCCAGATAATTCTTATGTTATTATCTATCTACAGAGAGGAGAGTCCGGTATAGATCACATGACCACATCAGTAGGAATGGAGAAGAACCGGAATCACATGACTGAGAGGATACTAGACCTCACCCTGGAGATCATCTACCTGCTGACCGGAGAGGTGAGGAGGATTCTGGGAATGTTGCCGGCCATCACTCCTATTATTGTAATGAGAAACAAAGCTGACTGCACATGTATCTCTACACAGGATCATACAGTAGTGAGGAAAATATCCGGTGAGCCATTCGCACTCAATAGCCGTCCTCAAGGGACATCACCCATCATGGTGCCTTCAGGTCATTCCCCGACACCTGAGATCAGCAGAGACCAGAAGATTCTAGAAGTCACCCATAAGATCATTGATCTGCTGACGGGAGAGGTGAGCGGTACCGGGAATTCTGGGACATGATCCAGGAACAGACAAGGGGTGTGTCTGGGTGGTGACTGTATCATTGTGTGTGTCAGGTTCCTATACGGTGTCAGGATGTCTCTGTCTATTTCTCCATGGAGGAGTGGGAGTATCTAGAAGGACACCGGGATCTCTACAAGGACGTCATGATGGAGGATCTGCAGACCTTCAAATATGAAAAATGTAGAAACAATATATTTTGCTTCAATGAAGTGATATGGAACATCACACTGGAGATCATCTGCCTGCTGACTGGAGAGGTGAGGAGGATTCTGGGAGGTCACATGACATCACTTATCTTTATTAATAGGACATATCTGTTTGGAAATGTAAAAAGTGTTGTAACATTATATGTATTGTTGTATATCACAGGACTGTGCTGTAGTTATGAAGACATCTCTTGAGAATATTACAGAAGGGAAAAGTCCCCGCTTGTCCACAAGAACGAGACGCAGACCAAAAACCATCACCGTGCCCCCACCTACCTTCCTGACCCTTAGGAAGACCACCAAGAAGATCCTAGAAGTCACCCAGAAGATCATTGAGCTGCTGACAGGAGAGGTGAGCAGTGCCGGGGATTCTGGGACATGATCCAGGAACAGACAAGGGATGTGTCTGGATGGTGACTGTATAATTGTGTGTCAGGTTCCTATAAGGTGTCAGGATGTCTCTGTCTATTTCTCCATGGAGGAGTGGGAGTATCTAGAAGGACACCGGGATCTCTACAAGGACGTGGTGATGGAGAGTGAGCCGCCCCTCACATCACCGGGTAAGAGGAGAGAGCAGTACGGAGGGTCCACCTAGATCCCCCATCATCTGATACACACATAGAAACAATGTATTCAGTCAGTGTGTGTGTTTCCTACAGATGGATCCAGTAAGAGGAACCCACCAGAGAGATGTCCCCGTCCTCTGTATTCCCGGGATTCCACACAGGATCATCATGAGATCCCTCACCAAGATCAGGTAGGAGGAACTCAACACCTAGAAGTGAATCTAAACTCAGAGACGACGTTCCTGTTCCCGTAGAGCTTACTTCTCCATGTGTTCTATCATTTTGGGATTTAGGGTAAGGACCTGATGGATATGAAAGTTGAGGTTAAAGAGGAAGAAGAAGAGAAGTTTGTGAGCGGAGCTCAGCAGTCTATGGAGGAAGTTGGGATGATTCCGAAAAGTAAAGAGGAGGATTCCACTCTAGACATCGGCACAGGTAAGTAATAAACACGAAGTGTACTGATTTACGTCTTTAGTTCATACAAAGTATGGGGTGTGACCAAAAGTTCTGGAGAATTAGCAGACATTCAGGAAAACATGAGGTAAGATGAAGCTAAATGATTAACAGTAGACCAGCAAAGTTGAGAAGCCAAGTCCTCTATATGAGCTTTAAATGCCTGAAGTGTTCCGATTTGTCAGTTTGCTTCTACGAGGATGCGGCGAGCAGTTTGAGGAGAAATGTTAGATAATTATCAGAACGTCACATCTTCTGGTACGATGAGACTAAATGATACCAGGAAGACCCGGAGATTCCCCCCCATGTCCCCAAACAAATGAGGAGGAGATACTGTACACCATATGAAGGACCATCTCCATTCCCCAATATAACGTCATGTGACCAACAAATGAGGGGGAGATACTGTACACCATATGAAGGTCCATCTCCATTCCCCAATATAACATCATGTCCCCAACAAATGAGGAGAAGATACTGTACCCAGGGCTCAAAATTTCCACTCGCCTGCTCGCATTTGACGAGTAAAAATAAGGTGAGGGCGAGTGGAAGTTTGGGTCTCCAAGTACCGGTCCGCAGGCCAAATCCGGCCCGTGAGCCGGTACTATGTAGCCCACTGACAAGTCAGTTACATTGTCATGGACCGCGTACCTCACTTGGCTTCCTTCAGCTGGAGCTCTGACAGTTCTGAGCTCCGGCGGAAAGCAAGGATGTATTACTGAGGTCTGCAGCAGACCTCACAAATCGCCCCTAGATCACCAGGGATCGATCAGCCTCCTCACAGCTTCCTCCGCGGAGATCTAAGCAGGTGAGGGGGTGTATTATTCTATGTTTGGGGGGCTTAGAAGCGGGGGGGGAGAGTGTGTTGTTTTATGTGTGCGACTTGCGACGGGGGATAAGTGTGACGGGGGATAAGTGTATTATTTTATTTGTGGTGTTATTTTAGGTGCGATTAGGGATTCCTGTGTCAGGAACTTGCGTTTTCCTGCAGCAGAAATCCGTAATCTGCCATTTACAAGCAACTATCATCATTTAAGAGGATGTGTTTAGGGGCGGAGTTATGGCATGGGGCAGGGTAGGGGTTAAGTGGGGCAACTGGTGGCGAGTAACTCTTAAGGCCTGGCTAGTAGCTCAGGACCTGAATTTTTTGAGCCCTGGTGTACACCATATGGAAGGTCCATCTCCATTCCTCAATATAACGTCATGTGACCAACAAATGAGGAGGAGATACTGTACACCATATGAAGGTCCATCTCCATTCCTCAATATAACGTCATGTGACCAACAAATGAGGAGGAGATACTGTACACCATATGAAGGTCCATCTCCATTCCTCAATATAACGTCATGTGACCAACAAATGAGGAGGAGATACTGTACACCATATGAAGGTCCATCTCCATTCCTCAATATAACGTCATGTGACCAACAAATGAGGAGGAGATACTGTACACCATATGAAGGTCCATCTCCATTCCTCAATATAACGTCATGTGACCAACAAATGAGGAGGAGATACTGTACACCATATGAAGGTCCATCTCCATTCCTCAATATAACGTCATGTGACCAACAAATGAGGAGGAGATACTGTACACCATATGAAGGTCCATCTCCATTCCTCAATATAACGTCATGTGACCAACAAATGAGGAGGAGATACTGTACACCATATGAAGGTCCATCTCCATTCCTCAATATAACGTCATGTGACCAACAAATGAGGAGGAGATACTGTACACCATATGAAGGTCCATCTCCATTCCTGAATATAACGTCATGTGACCAACAAATGAGGAGGAGATACTGTACACCATATGAAGGTCCATCTCCATTCCTCGGTATCACAATGACATCAGTGCCCATCCCCCGTCACTCAGTGTTGGGTTTGGTGTATTGTAGAATGTGTTTTTCATGTCATTTTGCTTTCTATCAGACGGCCGCCATGTCCGGAATACCTCGGAGGGAGATCTTCACTCTGAAGTGAATCACATACGTCCAATGATACACCACAGAACACATTGTCTGGAGACATCAATGGATCCCTCTAATCCTGAGGAATCTTCTGACCAATCACATCACATGACTTCAGATATTGATCTCGGTTCCCACAGTGAAGATCCGTCTACAGATCCAACTATCCCCGAGGGATCTTCTCTCAGCCATGAAGGAGATCACACAGGAGAGAGGTCATTGTCATGTTTGGCGTGCGGGAAAGACTTTAAGATGAAATCGGAACTTCTTCTACATCTCAAAACCCACAACCATGTGACCTTTTCATGTTCAGCGTGCGGGAAATCTTTCACTGAGGAAAGCGAGCTTCTTAAACACCAGAAATATCACAAGGGTGAGAATTCTTACTCCTGTTTAGAGTGCGGGAAACACCTCAGTACAAAAGCATACCTGGTTATACATGAGAGAATTCACATGGGTGAGCGTCCTTATTCATGTCCAGAGTGCGGGAAAAGTTTCACTGTTAAAACAAGCCTTCTTAGACACCAGAGAATTCACACAGGTGAGCGTCCTTATGCATGTTCAGAGTGCGGGAAAAGTTTTACTAACAAAAGATCTCTTCTTACACACCAGATAATTCACACAGGTAAGCGTCCGCATTCATGTGCAGAATGTGGGAACAGTTTTAATGACAAAAGAGCTCTTCTTAGTCACCAGAGAATTCACACAGGTGAGCGTCCCTATTCATGTGCAGAATGTGGGAAAAGTTTCAGTGCTAAAACAAGCCTTCGTAGACACCAGAGAATTCACACAGGTGAGCGTCCTTATGCATGTTCAGAGTGCAGGAAACGTTTTACTGACAAAAGAGCTCTTCTTAGTCACCAGAGAATTCACACAGGTGAGCGTCCATATTCATGTTTAGAGTGTGGGAAAGGTTTCGCTAAAAAAGGATCCCTTTTTACACACCAAAGAACTCACACATGTGAACACCCTTATGCATGTTCTGAATGTGGGAAAAGATTTTGTCAGAAGAAACATGTTCTGAGACACCAGAGAATTCACACAGGTGAGCGTCCGTATTCATGTTTAGAGTGCGGGAAACGTTATATTGACAAAGGATCCCTTCTTAGGCACCAAAGAACTCACACAGGTGAGCGTTTGTAATTCATGTATAGAGTGCGGGAAACGTTTTTCTGATAAAGACCGCTTCTTTCACACCAAAGAATTCACAAGGGTGAGCATCCTTTTTAATGTTCAGAGTTTGACAAAAGTTGTGCTGATAAAGAAAATCCCTCTAAGACACCAGAAAACTCTCACAGCTGAATATCCGTATTCATGTTTAGAGTACGGTCAAAGTTTTCCTATCAAAGGTACCCATCTTGGACGCCAGAGAGTCCACACGGGTGAGCTTCCATATTAATGTTTAGAGGACGAGAAATGTTTTGCTGAATAAGGACACTTTTTGTACGTTATATGGGCGAGTGTCATCATTCATGTTCATAGTGTGGGAAATGTTCCTTTTAAAAAGGAGAGCTTATTGTACACCAGGGAAGTCACACAGGTGAGCGTCCTTATCCATGTATAGAGTGCGGGACTTGTTTTGTTATAAAAGGACCTCCAATGAGACATCAGAGAACTCACACCGGCTGAAACACCTGACCAATGTATTTTCCCATTTTCACGAAATTCATTCAGATCTGCAGATCCACGGGATGAGCTTCCATCTGCTACAATGTCAGTTAAAGTGCCAAACAAGTAGAATCTTTTATTTATTTAAATTTGTTGTTTTTTGACCTTATTAACCCTTCGTGTATCCTAATCCGCCCTAGTTCACGCCTTCTTCCCCTTCCCCCCATGACTTGTATTTTCCTGCTGATTTGTATTTGTTTATTTCTGTCGATCTAAACTTTCATTTTGTATCTTTTTTTATTAATTTAGTGTGTGATTCTGTTCTCTGAAAAAGATGCAAATTGTACAATAAAATGTTATACTTAAAAGAAAAAAAACAAATAGAAGTTTATTAGATATCAGACATAAGACAGCAAAAAGAATCAGAGTGAGAATAGTGACGGAGCGGCGGAGAATAGAGGAGGGGCGTCGGCATGGAGTGGGTGAGAATAGAGGCGGGGCGTCGGCATGGAGTGGGTGAGAATAGAGGCGGGGGGTCGGCACGGGGGGGGTGAGAATAGCGGAGGGGCGTCGGCACGGAGTGGG